TGCTACCCACTACGCCACCGAGCAGCTGATTAGACCGTTTTTCATTTTCCATTTACACGATATAGCACAACCCCTCTGTGCAAGCTTGTTGCGGGTTACTGACCCTGCGCATCTCAGCACGCGCCTCCAGGGTTATGACTCGTTTGCCATATACACGACGAATAACCTTTGAAATCAACTCAAATCCTCCATCACTCACTTGAAATGTACTTTTGTTTGTTTACCGAGAAATTGCTTCATTCGAACTGGAGGGGGTTTAGACAGCCCCGGTCCAATCGGTGACATTTGACGACCAAAACACCAATCATCTTACTGGGGTTTCCAATGGAGTACGATTGGTTGGATTCACTTGAAGTTACAACGGATTCACAACTAGGACACTATGGCACATCAGCGATTAGCGCTTTCCTTCTCATCGGCTAAGGGATAGTGCTGTTTTACTAGTTATGGCTAACTTTCGGACTGGACTATTCGCTGTATGACTGGAATAACTACTGAAGTTAAAGCTTTACAGAATGATTGAAATGATATCGCTAATAATTCGTGTTCTGGCACTTACCCGCCGAGTATCACAGAAAGCAGTGCATCTAAATAGGACACTGAATAAGACGCCGAATCATTTCGTTACGGTCGATTTCAACTTGGATCTAAAAACGGACGAGAGATAGTCTAGAGTGGAAAGTATTGTTTGAAACGTCAACGTTCACAACGGAGCTTGTAGCAGGCGCAAAGCCAAAACGACACCCATAGTACATAATGAGGTTCGTTAATTGAAATTAAGTCTGAGAGAAACTCGTCCAACTTCTGATGAGCGTTACAGACGTTTCTCAGGTACTGCAATTCGTGAAAGTAACTATTCTTCTAACACTCAGCTGATGGTTTTCTCAGGCACTCCTGTGATGCGTGCGAAGGACAGAACTCTAATACGGGTCCTGTTTATTTCCTAATATTACCATTTCAGAATAGCCGTCAATTAGTGACAAACTGGCAACGTTTTATTGTAAACTATGAGAAAAGGAAACGGAGTTGAAGCTATTCCCTGTATTCTCTACTTCTAAGGCTCCGACAACAGTTTCTATTGCGTTCTGTGCTCAATCCCTACTGATGCAGAAACAATCCTCAGTCAAATTTCTACACAGCTCCTTTGAAAAGCAAACTTAAACCCATTTACTTACCGTAATGGCCCACTTGTTTTATCCTGCTTGTAGAATGAGTTTCCTATTTTATACCACACATTTTACTGCAACAACAGTGTCATTACATTGAACCCCT